CCTATGGACAAGCTTCTTATACTGTTAGTAATCTTCATTAATTCAATCCGCATGTCGGCGTGCGTTCTATCCATGGAACGCAGTAATGTGTATGCTGTGCGACTCAGGGAAGAGACATATGACGTAGACGTGAGAAAATTGCAATTTACAGATAGACATACAACGCATGCGCACAGACTAACGGAAAAAAGGAGCCGAACACTATGCGCATGTGTGTAATGTCTTTCGTCAGTAAGGATAAACGAACGAATATCTTTCCTGTCTTGTGGCTGGTCACAGCCACAGCACAAAGCGGCTCCATGGCAAATGTATTGCAAGTTTGATATGCTTGATGTACTATGTTGCAGATTGCAGCCAGACTTTCAGGCAACTTTTAAAGTCTACTGCTCAGAACCTCTTTTTCAGGGACACCTGAAAGTATTTCCTTATTAATTAAAATTAAGTGTTCCAACTACAAGCCAAGTGGAATATTTATTTATAAAGCTATAACATAGATCAGATTGCTATGAACAGACCCGTGCAAAAATATGTGGTGTTAGTGCGAGTTTAGACACAATGGCCTCAATTTATTCTTTCCAAAGGATTCAAAACTATTAGAAAATGTTTCTAAATGATTTATCTACAAAAATTCCTGTTGATATTAATGGTGACTTCGGTTGATAAATTATTTTCCTTTGTTGTCTTTCTTTCAGGAATATTTTTCAAGATATTCTTCACAGAGACACGTTTGTAAAGTCCTTTTTGGAACAGGTATTTTTATTGTATCTTAATGCAAGTTGTGACATTTCTATCTACAAGATGATTCACTATTGCAAAGTAAATTTCAAATTCAAGTTAAAAATAGCCAAACTAAAAAACATGCAAACTGACTTGGAGAATGTTTCCAAAGATTTACAACCAGTAATAATGGAACCTTGCCTCGCCTATGGCTGCAGGTATCACTCCAGCTTAAGCCAGCAAAGTCTGTAACACTCTCCACTGAGACTGAGAAGTAGACCTTAGCTATGCTTCTGGTTTGACTACTGTCCTTGAATTTGAAATTCTCTTTGAATGCTAACTTTATCATATAACTGCTAGTCTATATACCTGTTAACACAATACTATCATTTTATCGTTAAGAATACGTTTGTGGAATTTTAGTATTTTTAGTATTTTGCCATATTTGCCTGATTGTGGTGTGTCATGGAGTAGGCAAAACAAATTATCTAGTTAACCCCTTAAGGACTCAACTTCTGGAATAAAGCTAAAATTTTATTTCAAGTTTTGTACACTGCATGGAGTGTCGGTAAATGTGTGAATACAGAGTTATATTTGTTTGGAGAGTTGGTATGTCTGAATAGTGGGTACATTTCTGTGGAGGGTTAATGAGTATGAACATTTAGGGATGCAGGTTTGTAGAAAACATGTGTTTGTATCCAAGCATGTGTGAATGTAAGAGTGTATAGTTTTGTTAAAGGAACACTATAGGTTCAGGAATAGAAAGTGTATTCCTGATCCTGTAGTGTTTAAAATGCAGTTAGCCCTCTTGCTCCCCTTAGAAATTGTAAAAGCTCACCTTTATTCTACTCCCCTTCAATTCTGATGATGTCCGCCAAGGGGGTGGGGGCAGAGCCAAATGTTGCCCTGGCAAATCAGCATCTCCTCATACAGATGCAATGAATCAATGCATCTCTATTGGGAAAGTTCAGTGTCACCATGCAGACCCTTTTTCCTCTAAAAAGGCAGTGTTCACAGCAAAATGCCTGCAGGGACTGACTTTACTCACCAGAACAACTACATTAAGTTGTAGTTGTTATGGTGACTATAGAGTCCCTTTAAAGGGACGCTATAGTCACCAAAACAACTTTAGCTTAATGAAGCGATTTCGGTGTGTAGATCATGTTCCTGCTGTCTACCGCGACATTTCTTTGCCATTTTGGAGTTAAATCACTTTGTTTATGCAACTCTAGTCACACCTACCTGCATGTGACTTACATAGCCTTCCTAAACACTTCCTGTAAAGAGTCATCTAATGTTTGCACTTCCTTTATTGTAAATTCTGTTCAATTTAAAATGTAGTATCTCTTGCTCTGTTAATAGCTTGCTAGACCCTGCAGGATCCTCCTGTATGTAATTAAAGTTCAATTTACAGAGCAGGAGATAAAAACATCTAAAGTAAGTTATCAAATTGAAAACAAAACTATATTATTTAATGCAGGCTGTGTCAGTCACAGCCAAGGGAGGTGTGGTTAGGGCTGCATGAACAGAAACAGAAGGGATTTGAGCAGTGATACTGCAGAAGCATGAGCTATACACCAAGGCTACTTCATTAAGCTAAAGTTGTTTTGGTGACTGTAGTGTCCCTTTAACCTAGACACACAAGTGCTGCAGAATGAAGTGTGTTTAGTGCAGCACATGTAAGCATAAATCACCCCAATAAGCACCTCAGTGACATTTACTGATGTCTAGGAAAGTGAAACTGACACTTTCAGAGCACTAACAGTTCTGCATTAAGGGGATGTTAATATTTTTTTCCTTAACAAGTTAATTTGCTTGTATGTCTTCCATTATGGTTGAGGAAAATATAAAGAGAAAGAGATATGCATAATATTTGCCCGTGAGTTTAATAAAATGTTGACTTATCATTACATTAGGAAAATTCTCTAATTCCCTACCTTAAGCAAACATATTTGTATATGGCCAGTCCACTTGCACAGAGTATATAGATGGAATGTAATTTCCTACCCTTGACTGTCGTATTTGTATATGATCAGTCTGCATTATACAGCCTAGCAAGTTTTAATATCTGTTCTGTCGGAAGAAATTACAGATGGAAATTGCAGAGAGGCACCTTGTTCAAATAGAACATAAGTAATGTGTTGATTAAAACTCAGCCCTTTAAACATTTTTACTGAGCTGTACCATAATCATAAACAGTTTCTGAGCATTTTAGGTTCTGGTTGGTTTTGTTCATCTGTCTCCTTATGTGTCTTTAAACTTATCTACACAGTGAATGTGTATTTAGTGCTTTTTTTATACATATCTATTTCTACACAAACAAATTGCATCCTTTTTATTTTTGCATAATTCACCTTTTTTATGCATTAGGTCTTCCAGTTGAAACCTAACTTATCCCTAAGAAGCACATTCCTGGCACAGTTTCTGCTAATACTTCACAGAAAGGCCTTGACCCTGATTAAATACATAGAGGATGATACGTAAGTTCATAGATTTTACATAATTAAAACCCTATATATAAATATCGCTAAAGATCCTAAGAACAATCCATTTTGATCATCATTTAATTTTTGATGTCTTTAATTTGATTGTGTGTAATATTAGATATTAATACATTGGAAGACTGTACAAGCAAATATGATGCATCTGTTAATAAACTAAAGTTCCTATAAACTAGTTCCAAGAAAAGATGCGCTTCAAAGTTATTTGAAAAGGGCTTGGAGGAACTATTATGGGTTATTTTTGTGATCAATTTTGTTTTCCCCATATAAAAGAAGAATATATTTGTTAGGATCATAGTAGTATTTGAATTTTTTCCCATGATCATTTTAAAGATTAAAATTATTTGTGTTTGTATGTCTTTCAGACAAAAAGGCAAGAAAGTCTTTAAATCACTACGTAGCTTAAAAACGGACCTGGATCTGACAGTAGAGGGCGATCTAAACATTATCATGGCTTTAGCTGAAAAGATTAAGCCAGGGCTTCACTCCTTCATATTTGGAAGGCCTTATCACATCAGTGTGCAAGAGAGAGACATGTTAATGACATTTTAAAAATGTCCACAATCATGCTGAAAGTTATAATGCTTCTGTATGGACATATCCGACATTCTATAAAGTGCCAGGATTCACATGGACAGAGACAGTAACTGGTATTGGGTTTTTTCTATCCTTTTCTGAAGGTGCCTCATTTGTTCTCACATACAGAAAATATTGAAACCATGGAATCACTTTGCATGTTGTCATGTCTGCTGTATGATCTGACCATTCTGATTATTAGTAGACTGAGTATATATGAATGAGCTGATTTGTTTATGTTTTTGTGCTGAACACAGATCAATGTGAATCTAGGCAGAAGACTTAACCAGAGATATTTACAAAAAGGTGAAATTACACAATATAATTCACAATGTATCTGGTTTGTATAGCTTCTGGAAGTAAAATGTATTATGTTTCTTAAATTTTATTTATAAAAATGATCAAAATGTCTACAAAGCAACTTTCTTTTTTTTTTTTTTTGAGAGGTATTGTCATCCATGTATATATTGAGGTATGTGTTAAGACAAATCTTTGCATCGTGTAACATTTTTGTGCCAGCTTGCATAAGTACCTTTATGATTGCTGTGTTCTTGGAATAAAGATCTTTGTGCCTAATTTTTGTGTCCCTAGCTCAGAACAGTATGCATTTATTTAGAATAATTACTGTGCTTGGAAAGAGCAAGCTGATGTTTAACCCCTTAAGGACATAGCTTCAAAAGAGTGTCTGTCCCTTAGAGGGACACTATAGTCACCAGAACAACTACAGCTTATTGAATTTGTTCTGGTGAGTAGAATCATTACCTTCAGGCTTTTTGCTGTAAACACTGTTTTTTCAGAGATAATGCAGTGTTTACATTACAGCCTAGTGATAACTTCACTGACCACTCCTCAGATGGTTGTTAGAGATCCTTCCTGGGTCATGGCTGCCTAAAATGCATCCAAACATTCAGTATCTCCTCCCTCTGCATGCAGACACTGAACTTTCCTCATAGAGATTCATTGATTCAATTCATCTCTATGAGGATATGCTGATTGGCTAGGGCTGTGTTTGAATTATGCTGGTTCTGCCCCTGATCTGCCTCCTTGTCAGTCTCAGCCAATCCTATGGGGAAGCATTGTGATTGGATCAGGCTACTCTTTCTGGTGATGTCAGCAGACTGCTTGTTTTTCTGAGTCTTACAGCATGCAGAGTTACAGCTTCAGGCTTGAATACAGTAAGATTTTTACTATATTTATGGAGGCATGAGGGGCTCAGGGGGGCTAGATGGTGGTTTTAACACTATAGGGTCAGGAATACATGTTTGTGTTCCTGACCCCATAATGGTTATCTCTCATTTATTGCACCAACACATATTATATACTGGTTTTTAGAGAGAGAAAATGGCTTTAATACTATGTCACATGTACATATAAATTCTCATCAATTATAAAAGAAATGCCAAAAAATTGGGGGAGGAGGGGGACAAAAAATGGGTTTTTTTTCACAGTTTTGGCAATAATAGCTTGCAGGGCCGGTTCAAGGATTTTTAGCTACATAGGCGAAGACACATTTTGCCACTCCCCACCCTCTAAAAAAAGAACTGCGTCTTCAACTGTGTGTCTCATAGCCCCCCTTTTGAATTTCTTACCCCCTTTAGTGTTTCATATCCCCCTCTCTTTAATGTCTTACCCACTTTTGCCCCTTTGTGTGTCTTACACCTGCTCTAATGTATTTACCCCACCTTGTGTGTATCTTACAACCCCCCTTGTGTATCACTTCCACCCAGCCCCTTTGTATATCTTTCTTCCCACCAGAACCTTTGTGTTTCTCTTACATCCTCATTAGCCCATTTTGTGTCTCTTTCCTCCCCACAGCCCCTTTTGTATGTCTCTTTCCTCCCCAAAGCCCCTTTGTGTGTCTCTTTCTTTCCCCCAGCCACTTTCTGTGTCTCTTTCTCCCACCACCAGCATCTTTGCGTGGCTCTTTCCTCCCAAACCATACAGACATAGATATACAGGTACAAATACATACATGCACAAATACACAACCATATAGTTACATAGTCATAAAAGGAACACAAACAAACACAGTCATACAAGCAACCAGTCCTACACAGAAATACAGGCAACCAGTCATACAGAGACATAACGACAGTCACACAGTGATATACAGATCAAAGAATAAGGACACCGTTATACAGAGACATACGGACGCAGTCATACAGAGATTTACACGCAGACATACAGACAAAAGGCATACAGAGACATACATAAACAGACAAATACTACTAGTGATGAGAGGAGGAGAGGGATGGTTGCTAGTGATGGGAGGGAGAGAGGAGGATAACTGCTAGTAACAGAGAGGAGCTGTGATGTCCCTCCTCTGCAATGTTCCCTCGCGCACCACTTAGTGAGACCGGGGCTGGAATATGACTTCATATTCTGGCCTCCCTAAGCGGCGAGGGAGTAGAGCAGAAACATCATAGCTCCCTCGCCGCCAAGCAACAATATGTGCCGCCAGCCACCTGCCTTCACAATCCCCCAGCATCAACATATCCCCAGCAGGCCTCCCGTCTGCTTTGGCGGTAACAGGCTCAAATATCCTAGGTGCCATGGCGGCCTGGTATTTGTCAAGCCCTGTGGTTTGCCACTATAGTTTGTAAAGCTACAGTTCCATATCGTTACATTTAGAATTATTTGAACTGTGCCAACATATTCCACAGCGATGTGTAATAGGAAACTAGACAAACATTTAATCTAACAAAAATGGTATAACAGAAGGGAACAGTAGGTGAAGAGGGCCCTGTCCAAACAAGCTAGAATTTTAAATGATGGGTTTGATGGAATTATATCCTCTTCTGAGTAAAACAATACCCCCAATGTATGCATTTGCCACTGTTTTGTGAAGTAAGGGGTTAAGAAGGGAGGCAATTGTTTAAGAACCAAAACAAAACCTAGAATTGTAACTAATGTTTGTTTAAGCACAACATAACCTTTTCATACTAAGTGCACCCACTCTTATTATATATTCCGGATAATGGGGCTTTCATTTAAAAAAAAAAAAAAAAAAGGTTTTCCAAGTTATGCTTGACATTTTAACTTCAGCTTTTATTGCAATAATACAAACACACATATTTGTATACTGTGATATCCAACATGTACAACAATGCCCCCCATGTGCAGGTTTCATGGGGTTTTGGAAAGTTATATGGTAAAATATAGGGCTTGCAAATTAAATTATCTGTTATTGCAGTGGGGGTTATTATGAATTATATACTGCACCTTGTTACAGGCAAAGTTGCCCCAGTTTTTAATTAATTGACTGGTCCCCTGCGTGAGACTAATTACCAGCTCATCAAAACACTGTACATTGCTCCTGCACTAGGACTCTACAACTACGCTCTGCCTTTCCTTCTGCAAGGAGGGTGGACGAACGGCTGTGGGGGTCAAGTCATCTTTTCCCTCTTCTCCCACAGTATCAAAATCTATTCTTACACCCACTTTCAGCAACCTCCCAAAAAATCCACTTTTCCCTCTCTCTGATACACCCGCTTTCTCATCTCATGTCCTGCACTCATTTCTTTGTTCCCGCTCTTCTACTTTCAAACAATCTCATCCTAGACCTCATCCATACAAAACCCACTCTCACCTCCTGTCATTTTCTCTCCTACCACTTCTAGGAGCCAGTGATATCTCTACCAACCCTGGGCCCTTCATCCCCTCTGCTTACACTAAGCCAAACAGAAACCACCTGAACCTCATCCATGTACCCAGCCATTTAACCTTATATACCAACATTCAGTGTACACTCCGGAACTCTGTCTGCAACAATCTGAAATCGACTGCTATACACAATCTCTTCATCTCAAATTTTCTCACACTGCTGGCACTCATTGAGATCTGGCTGTCCCTCTCAAATAGTACTACTCCTGCTTCATTAAGTTTTGGTGGGATACAGTTCTTTCAAACTCCCCATAAAATTACACTAGCCGACATGAGTTTTCTAACATGTCAATTTAAATGACTTAATCACAAATATGAACATAAAAATATTATATCACATCACATTTCTTAAATACCAACTAAACTTTGTGGGATAGTCGAGCGATCAACCAGCATTATGATGTAAAATAATGGCCTTCAAGTGTACAGTTTATTCCAGGATAGAAAAATGTTTAATATAACCCATTAGTAAATTCAAATTTGGTACTTCATTTGCTACTCTATATAAAATTGGGATTTATGAAGCAATTTTTAAACCCTTTTAAGGACAAACTTGTTTTCCTGGCATTATAAGGTCTTTAGGTCCCCCCCACCCTCAGGGTCCCACTGGGCTGAAGGGGTTAAACACTTACCTATCTCCAGCGTCGGGCTCCCTCGGCGCTGGGGAGCTCTCCTCCCTCTGCTGACGTCCACGCCTAATGCGCATGCACGGCAAGAGCTTACGCGCGCATTCAAATACTCCATAGGAAGTCCATTTCTCAGTGGGAAGCGCCACTAGAGGCTGGATTAACCCTAGTGTAAACATAGAAATTTCTCTGAACCTGCTATGTTTACAGTTGCAGGGTTAACACTAGATGGACCTGGCACTCAGACCACTTCATTGAGCTGAAGTGGTCTGGGTGCCTATAGTGGTCCTTTAAATACAAAAAAATTAACCATTTCAATATTTAAAATATACATTTCCTAAACTAAGCAACCCCAAAATCAGAGAAGGTATATTTGTTGGTCCTTAGATTAGAAAATTGCTAAAAGATTAAAGGACCACTATAGTGCCAGGAAAACAAACTCGTTTTCCTGGCACTATAGTGCTGAGGGTGGCCCCACCCTCAGGGTCCCACTCCCGTCGGGCTGAAGGGGGAGGAGGGTGTTAAATGCTCACCTTTCTTCAGCGCCGGGCTCCCTCGGCGCTGGGGACTCTCCTCCTCCTTCGGTCGTCATCGGCTGAATACGCATGCGCGGCATGAAAATCAATGAGACAGCCACCAGAGGCTGGATTAACACTAAAGTAATCATAGCAGATAACAGGAGGCAGGGTTAATCCTAGATGGACCTAGCACCCAGACCACTTCATTAAGCTGAAGGGGTCTGGGTGCCTATAGTGGTCCTTTAAATGTTTCTCAGAAATTAAAACAAAAACGAATTAGCGGCGTGGATTTTTTAAAGATCTATAGTAGAAGGGCTTCTTGGTAATAAGAAGGATGGACAGTATACAAAAATAATAGAGCAATTAATCAAAAACTATACATAAGAAATGATGGTGTTGAATGTCACTAAAAGTCCACTTTCTACATTCTCATGTTAAAGGAAAATTAGGGTGTTAGGAATGCAGAGTTGTATTTCTAACACTGTAGTGCCCAATCGTCACCTGCCTCGAGGCCTCCCCTTCAGTACAAAAAGGGTTCAAAACTTACCTAATGCCAACACCAGTGTCCCTCAGCGCTGGGTTGCACTCCGTGATCCGAGCACTTCAATGAAATGAAGTGGTCTGGATGCCTATAGTGTTCTTTAACTTCTTACCAGACAATTTAGGCGGCGTAAGTGACAAAGAAGGTGAAACGTTTCACCAGGATATAGGTACCATGAAACGAAAATACCAAGGACAATGTAACCCAGCAATGATGGGCAATTAGTGTTGGTTTCTTTACAGGGAAGAAAAAGGGCCACATAAAAGAAAAAAGTTGAAACTTTGTTATATAATGTAGTTCATTTGTTGTATTTTTTGTTTGTTTATTGTATTTTGAGTACTTTTATTTTATATTTTGTTGCCATATATATATTAAATGTTTTTGTTCTATAAGAATTATTTTCTAGTATATATTTCAATCATTATTAAATAATTACATTAAAATACATGAAATGAATCAACACAGTAAAAAGACTATATTTAAAAGAAGAAAAACTACCACAACAAGAGGACATAGTCTTAAATTAGAGGGGCAAATGTTTAAAAATAATTTAAGGAACTATTACTTTACTGAGAGGGTAGTGGATGCATGGAATAGCCTTCCAGCTGAAGTGGTAGAAGGTAACACAGTGAAGGAGTTTAGGCATGTGTGGGATTGGCATAAGGCTATCCTAACTATAAGATAAGGCCAGGGAGTAATGAAAGTATTTAGAAAACTGGGCAGACGAGATGGGCCAAATGGTTCTTATCTGCCGTCACATTCTATATTTCTATGTGTATAAATCTTTTTTAGATAAAAAAAAATTATGGTGGCATAACATGACAAACTATGTGAGTGTTGCAACATTTCTGTGCCAGATTTGGTTCATTTCTAATGATTTATTCTGAAACAAAATTTTTTCCATGTTAGATGAAAAAAAAGTTAAAATTTGTTGACTAGTGTTATCAGGGAACATCCAGTCATCTGTATCAGTGGCAGTATTGCGGTACCGTGTCTTTATGCTTTAACCCTTTCATATTCAGGCCAATAGTCATCGTTGCATTCAGTTGTGTCAAACTCTGAGGCACTGTTGGTCGCCTGTAAGCAGGGACGAGTCTTACTCTCTGAGGAGCTGGTTGTCGCTGTTGAAATTATATAAGCCATCTCAACTTTAAACTTCCTAAGTATTGTTAAATGTAACTTTAATTAAATAACGTTGCGATCAAACAGAAGGGAAAAAGAGGAATCATTTTGTAGAAGAACACACTGCATCACACTGATACATCTCTATCCACTTTACAAGATCAGAAGGTCTGACAGCACTGTGATCACTGTGACTGGCTGTCGCAGCAATCACGTGTGCTGTGATATTGTGATTCAGCCACAGACACAGACATCCAATGCTGCGCCGGTTCTGCTTCAACCTGGAGCTAATTTTGGCAAATGACAAAATTATTCCATCATGGGTTCTTAAGGGAAGGACAACCATCCTAGAATAATTCAGTGATTGATCATTATGGGGTTAAACCATTTGCTGTTGCAAACAGGTTTGTTTTGTGGCTAAAATATTGTATCCCTGCTTAGTTAGTTGACTGAAACAGGTCTTGGCCAGGTTCACAAATTGTGCCATGATTTATTCTTGTTTTAAAAAGATGAAAGACGTGTAAAAACTAGAAACACACAATACTCATAAAAGAAGAATGGGTTGTATTAGCCATCCATCCTCCCTTTAGTAGTTTTAAGGTTTGTCTTTTGTATTTTCTTATTTTATAGAAATCAATAAGTTATTCATTAACTGTCTTGCTCAGCACTTAGCCTAAGCGGTTTTGTATTTGATGGTGCTTGGCAGAAGATAAAAGATTCCCAAATTCCATTAAATGCATATACCAATAAAACCTTTTATTACTACATCCAAACTAGTCAAGATTATTTAGCTGTGATGCAGAGGAGATGGACAATCTCAGTATATTATACATCATTTTTTATATTCAATCTGTAAATATGTACATGTTTTGTAACAGAGTAGGTTTCTCCCAAGGTTCGATGATGTGACATTGGTGTTGGGGTGTCAAGCCATAATGAGATTCAGAAGTTATATTATTAATTTGCACCATGACTAAATGATTAAATGTGTTTGCTCACATACTTTATAAAAGGTGCCATTTTTACCATATCTACAATCATAGGCGTGCACAGCCTATTGTATAAGGGTGTGCACCCTAAAGCACAAACACACACGCTGCGTTTGTGTATATATATATATATATATATATATATATATACACACACACACACATATACTGCTGTGTGTGTGTGTGTGTGGGGGCACTGTGTGTGTGCGAAGGCGCTGTGTGTGTGAGGGTGCTGTTAGTGTGTATGTGTGATGGTGCTGTGTGTGTAAGGGTGCTATGTGTGTGAAGGTGCTGTTAGTGTGTGTGTGCTGTATGTGTGTGGGGGGTGCTGTATGTTTGGGTGATTGTGTGTATTGTGTGGGGGGCATTTAGTAAATATCCCCCCTCCCTTCCTACCTTATGCCTGGGAGGGGGGAATCCTTTCTGCTGCTTCCATCCCTGGTGGTCCAGTGGAGAGTGAACTCTAGCCTGCGGGGCTAGAGTTCACTCTCGCGAGATCTGAGCATTGCCACGGCAACGCTCAGAATCCTGCGAGAGGAACCGGCGGAGCTACTAGCAAGAGCTCCCCGGGTCCTTTCCTGCCTCCTTCCCTGCCTGTGGGTCGGTGGGGAGGCTGAGAGCAGAGCTGGCGCTCGCATAGCGCCAGCTCTGCATGAGCCAACAGGGGAGATCCTGAGATCTCCCCTGCCGGTCTCAATATACATAGGTGTGCCGCGGGGACACCCGGCACACCCCGTGCGCATGCCTATGTCTACAATATCAAGCCTGCTTTTTCTATAGTCACTCACTTCCAAGACAACATGACAAATGAATTCCAAAAATAAGGCAAAAGCTGTGAATCTCTAACTCAACATAAGCCATAATATCTGGAACATATCAATATCATACACTGTGTAGCATGGATCAAACAAGCTTGGCGTAAGGAACCTACCTTAAAGAAACACTATAGCATTAAATGAATGCTTTCCTATGGGGAATTTGAAGATGTTGGACATCCTCACGCAAAGTGTGAGGTCATGCAACGTCAAATAGGGGAATGAAAACTCTGTTAGGGACCCGGAATTGCCTTTAGTGGCTCTCTTGAAGACATCCACTAAAGGTTGAGTTAATGTTATCATTGCAGTTGCTCAGAATATTTTACAGTGCAAGGTTAAACAGACAGTGGTACTGTACCCAGACCACTTCATTGAGTATCCCTTTAAGTAGTAGACGCAGCAGCAGCAGCACAGGTGCATATTGTCCCTTCTGCATTTTTCTTTCCTCGTAACTTTTCTTGAATTTTACATCAAAACGGGTAAGTGGAGATGGGAACATAATGTGGTCAATTATGTGGAAAATGTATTGTTCTTTTTTAACCCCTTAAAGACCGCGGACGTACTAGGTACATCCGACAAAAAACGGTCCTTAAGGACTGCAGAAGAACCTAGTATGTCCGCAGTAAATATGAGCACTGGAAGCAATCGTGATCACTCTAGGGGTATTGCAGCGATGCCTCTGTGATGCATCCTGCAATACCTCTCCTTACTGTCAGGCCGCTGAGTGATCGCTCCTTAGGAGCAATTACTTCCGGGTTGCCCCACGTGGCGCCCGGCAGTGTAGCATAGCATCGGAAGCCATCGGGCAGGCTTCCGATGCTCTGTCTGTGTGCCGAGTGCCTTGAGGGGTAGAGCCATTCAGTGAAGATTGAATACACAAATATGTAGTATAAAGCCTCTTACATGGCTAGCTTGAGATAAGTTGAAGGAGTAATTATGAGCTGAAAAAATCCAAAAAGCCTGTCAGGCCCAAAATTAGATAAAATCTTCCACTCTGCTCATTCGAAACTTAAAAACAATTAGAGACAGATGGGAGAATGAATCTCTCTAGAAAGGGAGATATAGGATTTTTAGTGGAAAATACCACCATTTGAAACACCTTAGGGGGTCTACTTTTCAAGAATATATGGTTTGATGGAGTAAATTACATTTGCCGGCTTCAAAAATGTCCCAAATAGGTGCATGATGATCAGATGTGAAAATTCCATGTTGGAAAACTGGAATGCGCACCCTCCAAATAAGGTATTTGAGCCCCCAGAGAACCTGACACACCTGTACATGGGTGGTATCACTGTACTCAGGAGATGTTGCTGAACACATCTTGGGGTGTTCTTTGGCAGTAACCCTTAAAGTTCTCAGTACATGTATTCTTACATTGCTATGTGTGTCAAAAAAATAACCACTTTTTTATATTCAGGGATTCCTGACAGATATCAGTGTTACAATGTAACTTTTTTTGAAATAAAATGGTTTGGAAATAGCAAAGTGCTACTTGTACTTATTGCCCTTTGACTTGCAAAAAAAAAAACTAATATCATGTTAACATTGGGTATTTCTAAACTCGGGACAAAATTTAGAAACTATTTAGCATGGGTGTTTTTTGGTGGTTGTAGATGCGTAACAGATTTTCGGGGTCAAAGTTAGAAAAAGGGTGTGTTTTTAAAAAAAAAAATCATATTTTATAAAACTTTTTTATAGTAAATTATATGATATGATGAAAATAATGGTATCTTTAGAAAGACCCATTTAATGGCGAGAAAAACTGTATATAATATGTGTGGGTACAGTAAATGAGTAAGAGGAACATTACAGCTAAACACAAACACCGCAGAAATGTACAAACAGCCCTGGTCCTTAACGGTAAGAAAATTGAAAAATTGTCTGGTCACTAAGGGGTTAAACAAGTAAAAGGCTCCCTCCTCGATATCTTTCGAGTCTTTGAAGAATACAAAAAAAAGTTTAACCTTCACATTAACTCAGATAATTCAGTTTTCTTGTTATTGAAGTTAGTAGGCTCAAGGGAAATCTCCATTTGCCTGTTCCAGTTTTATCTCAAGAACTTCCTGCTATTACTTAATACTCTTAAGAGTGACCCACACCATTTGTCCTGCATACACTTCTCATATCAATGCTGCAAATATGAACTTATTACCCAGGGCATGGTATGTGTTTCAAAGTATACCAATTAAACTTGTTTAGTACTTCCAGACTTCAATAACTGCATTTATGTAGTCAGGACGACACCTTATGCTTCCTCTGTCCCCCCAAACCCCTAGGTGACTTTGGGCAATAATTCCTTCTTAAATTCTATCAAATTCCTCACCTTTTATGGGTTAATTTTGGCACATAACAGAACATGCTAATAATTGGCAGTCTAATTAACTTGGAAAAAAGGGGAAGCTCTCTTACGCCCAAGTTGAGTCACATTGACTTATGTAGCTATCCTGTCTGTTTCTGTTTCTCACTTTCATGTCTCAGCCAAATTCATACCCCCAAAATTGGCATCATGTGAAGTGGGACATCATTAGGAGGGGTAAGCGGAGACAGGCAACAGCATGAATCACATCAGTGGCATATTTTTTTATTTTATTTATTTTGAATCAATTGTTCTTTTCAATGGGCATGGGCCTGGAGCTTTTTTTCCCCAAGTTATCATTCTTTTTTTTTCAATTTGAAAGTTTTATTGTTTTACATGTTATAAAACATGGGGTACAGAAAAGAAAAGGGTATGGGGGAAGGAAGGGAATGGATCAAGTAAATACACAAAACACAAAACACAAAACGTTCCATGTCTTCCGGTTACATCACTAGTCACACATTGTCCTTGTTACATCATGCATTACATATTGTGTTTCATACACTGCATGTCATACATCATAGATTATATAGCGTGCATCATACATTATGCATAATACGTGTTGTCCTGCTCTAGTTTCTGGGCTCTTGGGTGTGAGGATGCCTGCTTCAGCGCCAGCTATGTGAGTGGATGTTACCCTTTCCCATAAGGGTTCTCGTGGTTTTTTGTGTTATCACCTGCTCTAATGTTGTTGCATGTTACTTGGTATGATTTCCAGGAATTCCCATCTCCTAGTTCCTTGTTGGATAGCCTTTTCCTGCGCTCTCCTTGCGCCCACTCACGTCCCCACTGTTTGTTCGCTTTGTCCCTTACCCCTATATTCTTCCCACCTCGCATTGGCTAAGTCTATGTGTTTTCTTGGTCCAATGTGTTTGAGTGCCATTTTTTCGTATCGCCAATTTATATTTATTTGTTGTGTTAGGGTTTCTTTGGATGGAATTTGTGGCGATTTCCATGCTCTAGCTATGAGAGTTACTGCTGATATCAGGACGTGGAACAAAAGGGATTCCTCTGTTTTGGTCATTGTGAGTGGTAACATAAATAGTATACATTGTTGTAGGGTGGGTCGCCACTGCCTGCCCAGCAGGTCACCCGCTAGTTCCTCTACTACCTTCCAAAATTTTTTAATCTCCGTGCACGACCACCATATGTGGCTCATAGAGCCTCCTGTTGTCCCGCATCTCCAGCACGTGTTTGGAGAGTTTGGGAAAATCCTGGTCAAATGCTCAGGTACCATGTACCATCTGTAATGTAGTTTCCTTATTGTTTCGAGATGTGTTGTGCAGCGTGTGTTACCTACGTGTATTGTAAATGCCCTGTGCCATTGCTCTTTGTCTATGGTTTGTCCCAGTTCCTTGTGCCAAGCTGTTTGGAATGTCATGTCTGGGTGCGCCTCATCGTCTGTGAGTATGTTGTAGATCGTGGAGATCGTTTTTTTAGGGGGTTTGTTGGTTAGGCAAAATTGTTCTATGGAGTGTTTGTTGGGTGTCACCTGGCTATTTATTTGTACCCCTGTGAGCAGCGATTTCAGCTGTAGGTAGGAGAACAGCGCCTTGTTGGGGATGTTGTGCCGTGCCTGGAGATCTGGGAATGCCAACAGGTTGCCTTCATGGTATAAGTGTCTAAGCTTAGTGCAGCCTGCCTCGTTCCATTTTTTTGTGTTGAATGTTGGGATCCCTGCTGCTATGCACGATATTGGGGCGTCCTCTAGGAGTGTTCCTTCCTTTCCTTCCCTCTTGCGGATTTCATCCCAGAAGTATAGTGTTAACTGTGTGGTCAATAGGGGTTGTATCTGTTGGGGCCGGAGTTTTTTCGGGAGCCACAAGAGCTCCCTCAGAGACGGGCTATTTGTCCAATGGGCCTCTATTTGGGTCCATTGTGGCGCTTCTCCTTCCACTGTTGCTGCCTTGATTGCTGTTAGTTGTGTTGCCCTATAGTATTCTCGAATGTTTGGCAGTCCCAGACCCCCCTGCACGGTTGGTTTTTGCAGTATTTTTGTGGCCACCCTTGGTCTTTTGTTGGCCCATATAAATCTGATTAGTGTTTTTTGAAAGGAGATCAGGTACGCGTTTGGTAGTTTTATGGGGAGAGTTCTCAGGAGATACTGGAGTTTCGGGAGCGTCATCATTTTTATCGCCGCAATTCTCCCCACCCATGACAGGTATTTCCCCTCCCATGATCGTAGGGTGGTTTGCGTGTCCTTCAGTAATTTGTTATAATTGAGGTCTAGTAATTTTTCAGTGCGGGGTGGGATGCGGATGCCCAGGTAAGTTAGGTGGTCCACTCGCCAGTCAAAAGGGAAAGCGGTTTTGAGTCTATCGAGTGATTCCCCTGGTATCCCCATTCCCATGGCTTGTGTCTTTGTGACGTTTAATTTGTAGTAGGAGTGTTTCCCATATTCCGTAATGGTGGCCATTAGATTGGGGAGGGATATGTGGGGTTGTGTCAGGGTTAGGAGGACGTCGTCTGCAAATAAACTCGCCTTGTATTCCCGATCCCCTATTTTTACTCCATGTATGGAGGAGTGCTGCCTAATTGCCGCCGCCAAAGGCTCCAGGGCCATGACGTACAGGAGTGGCGATAATGGGCATCCCTGTCTGGATCCGTTTGAGATTTTGAGGGGGTCCGATACGAACCCTGCATTGACGACCCTCGCTGTTGGTGCATTATATAAAGCCCTGACCGCTGAGATAAAACCCTCCGGCACTGCAAACTTTAGGAGGACCTGCTCGAGGAACCTCCATCCCAGTCGGTCAAAGGCCTTTTCGGCGTCTAACGATACTAACACCCCTCCCACTTTCATTCTGCGGACACTGTGTACAATGTCCAGAACCTTCCTTGTGTTGTCACATCCCTGCCTGTTTTTTATAAATCCCACTTGATCTGAGTGTATAACCTGTGTAAGCATTTTGCCCAGACGCAGTGCATAGATCTTTGCATAAAGCTTAACGTCAGTGTTAAGCAGGGATATTGGGCGGAAATTCTGAGGGCATGTGGGTGGTTTGCCCGGTTTTGGGAGTGTGATGATGTGGGCCAGTAGGGATTCAGTGGGCAGTTGTTGTCGTGCAGTGGCTTCATTGAAGGCATTTGTTAGATGTGGCGTGAGGATCGGGGCTAAGTGTTTGTAATAACAGTTTGCGAAGCCATCCGGGCCTGGAGCTTTGCCTATTGGCAATAATTTAATGGCTTCCGCGACTTCTGCAACTGTTATGCTAGCCATGAGTTCCTGTTGTTGCTGGGGTGTGAATTTGGGTAGTGGTATGGAGCTTAGGTACGTCTGTATCGCCTGGGGGTCCGGTTGGGGTGTGTGATCATCCTCGGCTAGGTTGTATAGTGAGGCGTAGTATTGTGCGAACCTATTGCTGATGTCTTTAGGTGCTGTTATTTTGTGTCCTTCAGGTGATGTTAAGTACGCTATTTTTTGTTGTGCCTGTTTGTTTTTGAGAAGTTGGGCTGTCAGTTTGCCTGCTTTGTTTCCCTGTGAGTATTGGGTTGCTTTCAGTTTTTGCAGGTAGTAGCCTGTTTTTTCTAGGGCTTGTTTGTGTATGGCCTGTGTGATTGTCATGATGCGCAATTTCAGTTCCTGGGACGGGGTTCGTTGGTTTTGGGAGTTAAGGTCCTGCAGGTCCCTTTGCCAGTGTCGCAACTGTGTTTGTGCTTGCCGCTTCAAGAATGCTGCCCGCTTTATCAGCAACCCCCTGATTACCGATTTGTGTGCTTGCCATACTATATTGTGGGATGTGTCTTCAGTTTTGTTTTCTGTGAAGTAGTTGGTGAGCTCAGTTTCTAGTGTTTTTTTGAAAGTATTGTCTGTGAGAAGTGTTGCATTGAGTCTCCATGGGCTTCTATGTGTGGAGTCGTATAAGTCTGCCAGGGTCATCACCACTGGTGCGTGGTCCGACCATGTTATTTGTTCTATGGAGCAATTTTTGACCTGTTCTAGATATTGACCCGCAATCAATATACCATCAATTCGTGAGTAGGTATTGTGTACTGTGGATAGGAATGTGTATCCCCGTTCCCCTACATGTAGTGCCCGCCATACGTCATAGTGGTGATTGTCTTGTAGTAATTTTTGAAGTGCCCTGCCCTGTCTCTTGAGTGGCTTCAGTCTAGTGGCTGTGTGTGGGCCTGTGGTGTCCAACATCGGATCCAACACATGGTTAAAGTCGCCACATATCACCCCTATTCCTTTACTTATAGTCGACAATTTTTTAAACACCTTGTGGAGGAAATTTCTTTGATCCTTATTTGGGGCATATACGCTTGCAATCGTGTATAGAACGTCATTAAATGTCCCCACTACCATAGCATATCTACCCTCTGTATCTACCTTGGAGTGCATAAGGGTGAACGCCACATCTCTGCTAACGAGGATTGAGGCCCCTTTAGATTTGGTGGAGTGTGTGGCGTGAAATTGGTGTGGGTAATCTTGCTGGAACAGAGGCGAATGTGCTTTGAATTTAAAATGTGTTTCTTGAAGGCACACTACCTCAGGTTTGAGTTGTTGTAAATCTTTGCGAAGCAAGCTTCGCTTCGCTGGGTGGTTGAGCCCTTTAGTATTGTGAGAGTATATTCTCATGGGGGGTAGTATATTTGGATTTCGAGTTGTAATGGATCTGTAATATCTATTTGCGAAGGGGACACCCTTCCCAGTATTAACGAACTGGGTGACCCCTCCCTAATTCGTGTCATGTGTTGGTAGTAGCCTCCACTGTGTGGGGGAACCTTGTGTGTCTTGTCAATGGAAAGTAGAGCATGCATTAGTTGTGCAAGATGGAAAACATGGAGGGTAAACAAATAACTTAAAACAGTAATAACTAAACATTTTGCCATAGAATTGGCCTTGTGCCTCAGGTAGGCACTGTGGGGTAGGAAGCTGCATGCCTCCATGCCTGATCGCATTGGTCTTCGGGCCTGATTAGGGTGTGTCAGAGGTGTTTGCACCCTCTTTGCGTGTCGGCTGGTAAGAAAAAGTGTAAGATGCCGAGTTCTTGTTATTGGGGGGGTCAGGTCGGGTGCGTCTGGGTGCCCGGTTTTACCACGGTTACCCTTGGTAATGATTTAGAAAATAAAAATGCTAGGGTGATGTCTATCACACTGCGTACCCTCTATCAGGCGCCCTTTCCCCCATCATAGTCAGTGTCCCATTGTCTTAGTGCAATACTTGCCACTGTTCGTGGATGCAGGCCGCGGCCTTATTTGTTTCTCGTGATTTTCTTCCATGTTGGCGGTAGCTTGGCCCTTGCTGCGGCTTGGGACGGCATCCTTGGTGGTGGCAAGCCCCAATCTTTCAGTGCTTGGATACCGGCTTCTGGGGATGCGATGGCTGTCAGCTTGCCTTCGTGCGTGACTAGTAATTTGACTGGGAATCCCCATCGGTATGGCTTCTTGTGTTGTCTCAGTTGCTCTGTAATTCCTGAGAAAGTTTTCCTCTTTTTCAGCGTTGCTGCAGATATGTCCGCGTAGATAGTGATCCCCTGGTATGGTGCTGGGAGGTTTGGGCGCTGCCTGTTTGCCCTCAAGATGTCTTCCTTTACATGGAAGTAGTGTAGTCTTACTAGTGTGTCTCGCGGTTCGTCCGCCGACAGAAACCTCGGCTTGGGGACTCTGTGGTACCTGTCCAGCAGGAGCATGTCCTGGTGGATGTCTGGAATAAGGATTTTGAACAGGCCCTGTAGGTAAGCATGGAGGTCTGCCGTGCTGACGGTCTCTGCTACTCCTCTCAGGCGCAGGTTATTCCGTCTGGAGCGGTCTTCCATGTCCGCCAGCTTGTTTCCGTAGGACTCTATTGTGTCTTGCATTTCATCCATTTCGGCTCGCATGGCATTGTATGCTTCAGCTTGGTCAGCCATTTTGTCTTCCAGGGATGACGTGCGCATACCCAGATCTCGGATTTCAGATTTGATTTCGTTCAGTGAGGTTTTTAGTGTGAGCTGCAGCTTTTGGTGCATGTCATCCAGCATTCTCTGTATTATATGTGGGGTTGCTGGGATTTCTTCAGGAGTTGTACCCTGGGTGTCGTTCAGTCCGCCATGGGCGCCATCTTGGGGCTCCTCTGATCTCGCCATCACTTTCCCCTGGGCATTCCGGACCGTGAAAAAATCGGCTTTCTCCCCCTTTTCGGTCTGTCTTCTCCCCTTGTGTTGGGACATCGTTGCTGGGTGGATTCCCGGTCTTAGGGTGCTCGTACCGCTTTTATTTAGGCCGTGGTAGCACGGAGCTACACAGACATGCGGCTGCTGTGCTCGAGCTCCAGGCCACGCCCCCCCAAGTTATCATTCTAATATACAGGGAGTACAGAATTATTAGGCAAGTTGTATTTTTGAGGATTAATTTTATTATAGAACAACAACCATGTTCTCAATGAACCCAAAAAACTCATTAATATCAAAGCTGAATATTTTTGGAAGTAGTTTTTAGTTTGTTTTTAGTTATAGCTATGTTAGGGGATATCTGTGTGTGCAGGTGACTATTACTGTGCATAATTATTAGGCAACTTAACAAAAAACAAATATATACCCATTTCAATTATTTATTATTACCAGTGAAACTAATATAACATCTCAACATTCACAAATATACATTTCTGACATTCAAAAACAAAACAAAAACAAATCAGTGACCAATATAGCCACCTTTCTTTGTAAGGACACTCAAAAGCCTGCCATCCATGGATTCTGTCAGTGTTTTGATCTGTTCACCATCAACATTGCGTGCAGCAGCAACCACAGCCTCCCAGACACTGTTCAGAGAGGTGTACTGTTT